GTCGCGTACATATGGTGCGGTTTCCCTAGTAAGATTAAGGCTATCAAAGCGAACACGTACATATGGTGCGGTTTCCCTAGTAAGATTAAAGCTATAATAGCGAATGCATAGCCTTGGCTTTAAGAAACATACAATCAAAAATGAAACCTTTGCCTTTAGATAAATGCTAGTTGAGGGCACTAGCCTACGGCTGTCTGTTCTTATTTAGTGGACGATCCTTGAAACATAGTGAAAGGATTTAAGCCAAGACTGAAGATTATGAGGAATAATCTGCTCCTTTAAGAGTAGAGAACTGCTTGGAATTAAGAGAGAACCGAGCGGATTTAAAAGACAATTTTGCACGGGACTCAAATTTCCTCAACTGTCCTGTTCCTCTTTCTTCCGTGACCCACTTCAGATATGTTGGTCAGTTTGGGACCTCCCGGTACTTTAGAAGAATTTGAAGAAGGGTCCCCAGCAATGGGCTCGCAACTCTCAAGATAAGGTGCCAAGCCCAGGGTTTCTGGCATGTTTTACAAGGCTGTGCTTCAGATGGTGCTGTTGTAAGGGTCTGAGATATGGACCCTCACATCCACCATGCTTCATATATTGGAAGGCTTTCATCAAGGTGGCCAGCCCAATTACCAACAAAATGCCAAAGCTCATTGAAGGCATGTGGCATGAACCACCAGTTGATGAGGCCCTGAGAGTAGCTGGCCTGCATCCCATCTCAACTTTTCTTGAGAGGCGGATCAACAGGTTCGCAGACTATGTCGCCACTCACCCAATGTTTGACCTGTGTGGGCAAGTTTCAAGGATGTCAGGTACTCCACACCAGCTCTGGCTGTGGGACCTCCTTTAGCCACAGCGCTGATTGTAGTGATATGTAGGCAGTCTTTCGTGGTGCTGTGTCCACGTTCTCCAGAGCCTCTGCCTGGGATTGGGATCCCATGTTAGGCAAGCTCTGCAGAACCTGCAAGGACCATTAACACACAACGGTTCTGGCAGACTTTGCACTCTACGAGCACAGAAGACAGAGGCCAGGCCGGTGGCTCACCAACACCTATTCAGTACATGTGCACCTTCACTATCTAGAGACCAGGCCCAGCAACACCTACATCAAGGTGGAAGCATGATTCTGAAAACTCTGACAATTTCAATCTATCCTTGCAGTTGCAGAAGAAGTGAGACTCTGAGTGCAGCAAGGCTGCAAAAAGCGCCAAACTTCTTCTACTTCAAAGAGCCTTTGTCGTTGGAGAAACCGTCCAATTGGATAGATAGATGGATCCTCCAAACTGGGAAGCAATGTCTGACAACAATGTAAATCATCATGCATACCTGGGCTCCACAATATCGCAATGTTGGGACTCGTCACTCCATGCCAATTAATGCCAGTCCCAGCCATATTGCAGGTACAAACCCAACTAACAGACATCATCGCTCGCACACAACCATTCTCCAACGCGGCATGTAACGGTGTGCAACCTCGAGGTTGTAGCGAGTGAAGTCCGAGGCTACGCGCCACAGTGTGTTGTCTGTCAGTCAACATTGTTGGTTGCTCCAGCTTTTGCAATCACAGCACCTAGCTAGCAGGCTAGCTACCGTAGCTAGTACAGCTGTAGCTCGCTATTAGACCCCGTCCAGGCAAGCAAATGGTGCACTATCACGGTCTCAAGGAAACTCGATAGCTTGCCATGGACTGTACCGGTACGTACGAGAAGCAAGCGCCATCTTTTTCGTCTTGTAAAAAATTGTAGCGTTAGCTTGGTCATTTTAATGTGGATGCGCAAAAACGCGGTATGGTGCTTACTTTACAACAGAAGTGTCAAAAACTTATATGATGGAGGTAACAAACAGTACATCTGACAAGAAAAAGTGTCTGCTTGCCAGCCAGTCATCGTCACGAATTCAAAATATGCCTGCTACCTCTATAGCTAGCTAGCAATCGATCTGGACAGCGGAAGTCAGCCCTGACACGGTCGACAAGAAGTCGTCATCATCATCCGGTTCCACAGCAGTGATTGGTGCGGGGCGCATGTTTGCACCAGTGAACTGACTGGCAGATTCCCCTGTAGATTGCTTGTGTTTCCTAGATTGTTTTTCGTTGAAGGAGGAAGTCGAACCAGAAAAGTCCAGGTCCGGATCTGATGGCTCGGGTCTCTCGGGCATTTTTGGTCTGTGGTCTCTCTCGTTGCTGCCACTGGATTGGGAACTGCGAAAGGGTGATGGCATCTCCCTTCTCTGTTCCCTTTGTTCCTCGGGGCTGGAGGTCATTGTCGCAACAGAGACGGATGCCCCGTGGTCGGTTTCGGATTCGTCCGGCATCAATTCTGCCAACCATGGACTCGAAGAGTCAGATTCGTCGATACCCGTTTCCACGTATTCCCCCTTCATGGTGTGTTGTAGGACGATCTGAGCTCGCTGGCTGTTTACTTTTTGAATCTGTTCTCCCAGTTCCTTGGCCCTCTTGGACGTACTCTTCCTCAAGAACAGGGTCTTTAGGAGTGTCTTGGTAGCTCCTTCGATCATTTCCTCGACTTTTTCGGTTTTACCCAAGTTTCCAAGGGTGGTTCGCCTTTGGTTCTTGGCCCGAATACCCCTTCGAACGGCACCGGCAATCTGACCGCGGGAGACATCCCACTCCTTGCGAAGCATCTCCATGCGTATCGATCTAGGCAAGATCATCTCGCTTTGTGTCCTTCGCACTGGTCTTGACTTTTCGTATTCTTCCACGGCGAGGACCAGTGTATTGGGATTGTACTCCCACGAAATTGTGACGGGAGGGCCTGAGCGAGAAGATCGAGTAAGAAGTGGCAGGAAAGAAGGAAGACCCATCCAAGAAACAGAAAGGGGATAATGTCAATCCAAACTAATACATCCATCCACCAAAAGACGAGCCACTAATAAGAATAAGAATCGAATCATCGTACCTGAACTAACAGAGGGATTATCCCCCACCGTGCGATTATACTCTCGGATTTCGATATTCTTGAACGTAATGTGTTCAGGTCTGTTGCTACCATTAGTAGCCTTGGAGTCAGCAGATCCATACTTGCTGTGGAGACTCTCATCCAACGTAGTGATCTTCATGATACCCTTGATGTGTCTCCAACCAGACATTAAAGCACTATCCATAGACTTGCCTCGAGACGGACGCGGCTGACGCGGCGGACTTGTCTGCCGCCGAGGTCTCCCGGCATTCTGCTTGATACTGGAGTGCCTCTTTATGCCACTGGCAGCAGGATCCGATGAAGATCTTCGTCGCATCATGGTGCCTTCTGAGTTCGTTATTGTAGTGTAGTGCCTCCTTTCTCACTGGCGTGGAGACCTGAAGCTTAACACTCTGAACAAAATGCGAGAGATGCCTCTCCGCAGCAACCAATCAAGATGGATGTTTATGCTTCGCTTGCTATTGTAGAAGCTTCGACGGTATTGGGTCGAAGCTGCAGCTGTCGCGGCGCTTCGAGTGCCACACAAAGAGGGGAGAAAGTGGAAGAGAACAAACCCTTCTGCCTCCGTTGTGAGCGGCGGAGCTTACACCATCCTTCCCATTGCTGAATGTGACAACGGAAAGTGTGGTTTCCGCAATTGATAAGGGAGGTTTGAAGAAAAATGGCACTAAGAATGCCCAGAGTCATAGAAGAACTTTTCTAGATGTCCCCGGAATTCACGTCATCGACGGCCTTGACATCTCAACTCCAGTGAAAAATACTGACCATCCGAGGTCAACACCAGCCCGTTGCAACGTGGCAGTGCTGCCCAGGAGTCAATGAAGCCACAATGGATGAGGCAATGCAATTTGGCTAGCTAGCTAGCTAGCTATTGGTGACATCCGTCAAATGAAGCCAAGAGATCCCTATCTTGGTGATCGCTTCGACGGCTTTGATTTATCTGCAGGATTTGGCTGATTGGAAGCTTGCTTCATGAATGGCTGTGTCTACACCTACCCGTAGTCGCTGTTGCCGGCTAACAAGGTGTCGATTCTACCTCCTATCAAACGAGAGGAGTGTTGGATTTCGGGGCGGTCCGGAACAAGCAACTTTGACAGATAGATGGATATAGTCAAACTTAATCATGTACCCGGTACCCGGATCGTTCTGACTTGCAAACCACACTTTACAGATACCTGTAGCTATGTACTCTGGAGTATAGAACTTCCCCAGCTCTGCTGTGTGGAGACAATCCTCAATCCTCCCGACACACTCAATTGAATGGTACCTGTATGGTTGTACCATGGGATTCCACTAGCCAAACCGCTCCATGCCTGTCGGAAGCTTCACAACCTTTTCCAGGTTGTCTACTAGTAGTTTGGAATAGGAAAAAGATCTGATTTCAGAAGCACCTCATAATTAATCCATAAATCCTTTATTACTCATTGATGGACGAAACAATCTACACTAGCTACTAAAACTAGAGTAGCTAGCTAAAGGACGGAATTGCTTAGAAACATAAAATATTATGTTTATTCGACCCCTGGCAGCAATCCAATGGATCGCAACATCCACAACTTCGATCAGACTGCCACCTGCGCTGATTTGTCTACTATTTGATCCTCTTTCTTTCAAGTCCTCCAAACAAACCATCCACCATGCCGCCGAAACGCGTAAAGAAGGTGATGACCCTTCCCATCAATGTCATCTTCTCGCACCTACAGGTAAGTGTCTCTTATTTTGGGATTGCATACGAGCACGCCGCTGCATATACCCTCCGTCAAATGTCGGTCAAGTTTGTGCCCGTGTCGTGTTACCTCACACATCTTTGTTTCAATTCGTTTTTCATTGATTTGTTGCCACATGTGTAGAAAAAGACTCGTGTGAGAGTAGGCTTGTATGAAGACACTCGTCTCCAAATAGAGGGCCAGATTATTGGATTTGATGAATACATGAACATGGTCTTGGATGATGCCGTGGAAATTGATTCCAAGAAAAACAAACGAGTGGAGGTTGGAAGGATTCTACTCAAGGGGGATTCTATTACCATGCTGCAAGAAGCACAACCAGTAAGGCCGATGCCAGCAGGTGGGGACTAGTAGAAATACATATCCCACGGGTGTGAGTCTGTGTGAATTGTATGAATCAGATAGAGCTTGCCACAAACGATAGGAGGATGATGAAGATGATACAGTGCTGGCTAGAAGAGTCTTTGCTTTGAGTTATTCGCTCGTGCCCAACAAGGCGATTGGGCCCTGTTCTTTTGACGACTTTGCCAGGCAGTATTCCAATCTATTCCAAAAGTAAAAGATGTTTCTCTCCCCTAATAGCCATCCGTAAAAAATTGCCAGAACTTCTAGCCAGAGCCAAATTGCACAATACATGTACTGTACCGGTATGTGCACTTATTATGGTCTGGGTAAGCTATTCAAAGCCTTCGAAATATGTCACCTTTCCGTGAGGGTGATCTTGTCTCACCCTGGCCTGGACCAAGTCAATAATCCTCCGATCTGCTGTGCAGGTGGAAGGGACAAAACCATATCCCGTTGTCTCTTTTGTCTTCCTTCTCCTTGTAACAAATAATAATGAAGAGAAATCACTTGCAACCCCCGGTGTGCCACCAAGGCCAACCCCATTGCTACAATAATAGCAACTCTCCCACGACAAGCTCCTAAGGAATCGCTATTTTTGCTTTTTGTGCATTACATTGTCTTCTACTAACCTGTTACCACTGTACCAACATTTCTCAACAACACCCCTCCGAGGGTAACCAGCCCGTCCTTCTGGAGTGCCCTGGTCTCCGTAATACATACATGTAGTGGGCCGTGTGATGGTGGTTCCTCTGTACTTTTCAGTCACAAAGTTGAATCCCGCTTTAGATGTACAGCATCGATGCATCAAAGCACCGCAACAAAACAAAAATAGTCTTGACCATGGACCTGTTGAAGCGAGAACTGGAACGAAAGAAGAAGACGGTTGAAAAGGCAAAGGCCACTTCAGGTGGAAGGCGATTCTTCAGAGCTGGTGATCTACGTCGCCAGGAGGAGGAAGAAGAAGAGGAAAAGCAGGCGAAATACGCCGCGAGTCGAAAGAAGCGAAAATTGGGTTCCGACCAAGACGATGATGAGCACACGACAACGGCTGCTTTAGGGAGCAAAAAGAAAAAAGACAAAGGTTCCCAGAAAGCTAAAGAATCGGAAACGCAAGAAAAAGAAAGCAGTGTCAGCAAGAAATCTCAGTCCGAGAGCAACGAAGCGGTGAGATTATCATCCGATGAAATAACCAAGAAGCTACGAGCGTTTGGGCTTCCCATCAAGTTATTCGGAGAGAGCCTTGAGGATCGTGTGAAACGTTTGCGAAAGGCACTCGATGAGCAACGAAAAGCTCAAGCTGGCGATGCGGAAATGGATGAATTTCGCCTTGGGAGAGGTCATGGGATCCGTAATACATTTTTGGGGAAGGATAAAGATGATACTGCTGGAGCCGGTGAGCAAGCTCACGTTGAGGAAACCGATGCGGCAAAAGACGACAAAGAAACCGAAACCAAAGATGATGACGACGACTTGGGTGACGACTCCGACCCACACAAGAGAGTGTACAAATATTTCAAGGGCCTTCTAAGGGGTGGGAAGACGATCTCGTGCTGGCCGGACTCCGTCAAGCGAAGTGTAGCAGGACGAAATGAAACCAAGACCTTGAAGCAATGCAAAGACTACATTCGACCCATGTTCAAGTTGCTCAAGAGCCGCCGAATGTGAGTTTACATTTTTCAACAGTGCGATTTCAGTTCAATTCATTTATTTCATCTGACTCTTTGTTTTGTGTTGCTGTTGCTTGAAAAAGGGATGAAAGCATTTGACAAAATTGAATCGAATTGTTTCATTTTGTCTGGAGGAGGAATTCGTCAAAGCCCATGATACCTACATTGATATTTCTATTGGGAGGGCTGCTTGGCCCATTGGCGTTACCATGGTAGGGATCCACGCCCGTACTGGTCGAGCTAAAATCGAGAGTTCCAATGTTGCTCACGTCATGAATAGTGAGCTGCAGCGCAAATACCTCACTTCAGTCAAGCGATTGATGACCTATGCGCAAAAGAAATCGCTGCAGACCCCTCCAAAAAGGTACTGTAGGGCATCTCCCAAAGCCTTGTGGAGGTCGGGTCCAATGAAAGCATAGCATAGAATATTTTTACTCTTAGTGCACGAATTAAGCATGTACAGTACCTGGAATTCTCTGAAAGCTTCCAAGCTGTCACAACGACTGTAAACGCAGGATCAGATCAAGTTCCATGATTCCAAGACCCACTGCAGCACCAGCAGCGTACGGCCCTGCGGTATCCCAAAGCCCAGGTATTACTGAATGTTAGTTTTGGAAAGCGAGGTGAAATCGATGAATGTATCAACAGTGAAGAATTTAATTTCTTATCCAAAAGGCAAAGCATGCATTCAATGCTTTTATTACTACCAGTATTATCAACATCCTGACATAGGTCAGTTCCTGTGGCGGACTGCTCACTCAATCATCTACCAGAGGCGCCTTTTGCTCTGGACCGACCTTTCAAATTTGTCGTCAGCATCTCCAAGGAGGTTCAAGAGTAGAGAATCGGCATTCAAGTACACCTTGTTTCCACTTCCAGCCACAATATCAGCAATGTCTCTAGCGGCATCAATGCGACGCAATTTCATGAAACCAGGGTTTCGCTTTACAGCATTACCAATGAGAGAAGCAGACTCGGCTTCTCCCTTGGCTTTGGTGATGATGGTTTTCTTTTCTTGCTGAGCTCCAATGACAACGTACTTGGCACGTTCAGCATCCTGTTGGGCTGTGCGTCAAGACAAAGAAAATAAACAGATTGGTCAGGTTTGAGATCAAAATTTTGGACGATGCATAAAATAGTTTTGCGGTTCACAAATTGAAGAGAAAAAAAAAACTCACCAACTTGCTTGGCTTCGACAGCCCTAGCGTATTCTGGGCTGAAACTGAGATGGGTAATGGCCACATCCTCCAGCAAAACGTTGAAAAATCCAGCTCGCTTTCTCAACTCGACCGAGATCTCTCGAGACACCAGGTCACGCTTGGTGAGCAACTCATTGGCATTGTAGCGTGCCACGACGGCTTTGGCACACTCATTCATGACACTGGGCAAGATCCTCTCATCGTATTTGAGTCCAAATATCGGTAGATCCAGACCAACTTGTTAGGATCCGGTTTGTGCAGCACACGAATGGCAATGGTAACCATTTGCAAATCCTTACTTCCCGTCAGAGTCTGCAGGTTGACGGGTCGCGTTCGGATGTCGTAGATGATGGGCCTCTCGAACCAGGGAATGTTGAAATTGAGACCTTCGCCATAGACGGTATCTTTCATTCCCACAATACGATTAAACACCACGGCACGGTGACCTCCTTGGACTGTGTAGATGGAATTGTAGGCTCCGTATCCCAGACCAGTAGCGACGGCAATGGCTCCCACACTTCGAGCCGCAGCGGCAGCCGCTGCTTGAGCTCCGCCTCCACCACCTCGTTTTCCGCCTCCACCGCCGCCACCACCCATGTTGCCCATTTGCTGGCCCAGGTTCTTCATCGCTTCGCGCAATCGATTAGCTGCCATCTTGCTTTCTTTTTGTTTATAGAAATAGATCTAATAACACTATCTTTAGATTTCTGATGAATTGTTGGATTGTGCTGGACTTAGCTAAACGAGATAGACAATCAAAGAGGTCAAGACTATGGTTTCTGCAAATACAATCCACAAAGCAGCTCGAAGAATGCAGCAACATCATGAGAAGCCTCAAGCCACGAAAGAACGTCGCCTCCGAGAAAGATCTTTGGGTGGTCATCGGCCCTCCTTCGTCGGAAGCGGATCGAAGCTTTCCGAAGGATGAGTTCTTCCACTTCTGACGGATGACGGCAAGACCGTTGGCTCGAAAAGGACTGGCCGGCGTTGTCACACCCGTCTCTCTGTTCTCTCGCACACAACAGCAAAACAACAAGCAACAACAGCAGCAGCAAAAGCGCATTGTTTATTGAAGTGGCTTGCAACGTGCATCAATCTCTATCTAGCTAGTACCATGTCGGCTGGAATTGCTCAAGGACGTCTCCGAGAGGAACGAAAGAACTGGCGAAAGGACCATCCTTATGGCTTCTTTGCACGCCCTGAATCATCGGGAGAGGGATCTTCCAATATCATGAAATGGAACGCTGGCGTCCCAGGCAAGTGTGTCAAGTTCGGGGGCCATGGTTGTGCTGTCGCTGCTAGCTAGTCTCCTCACACCGACACCTTCTTGTTGCTGCTTCAGGGAAGGAAGGCACAGATTGGGAGGGTGGAGTGTACAAAGTAAGACGACACAATGCTCGAAGGGTGAAAACGTTTTTCCGAGAGTTTATGTGAACCTGACACTGGCCAATCGACTTTCTTTGCGACTTGACTCAGGTTGCCATGGAGTTTAGCGCGGATTATCCATCCAAGCCACCCAAGTGTGAGTTTCTGCTCGTAATGTTTGGGATTGACAAAAAGCGAAATCGGTCTCACATCATGCTCTTGATTGATTCATCATGTGATAGGCAAGTTTGTGCCGCCTCTTTTTCATCCCAATGTGTATCCATCGGGAACGATCTGTCTTTCTATCCTTAACGAGGAAGAAGGGTGGCGACCAGCTATCAGTATCAAGCAGATTCTGTTGGGAATCCAAGATCTGTTGGGTGAGTCGAGTCAGCGGTCTAGGACTCTCGCTGTCATGTCATGCCGCGACACCCACCCATTGTTGGCTCACTTTTGTTTGTTTTTTGCACAGACGACCCTAACCCAGCCAGTCCAGCCAAAGTGAGGCCTTCAATCTTTACATGAATGATAAAGCCTCGTACAAACTGCGAATTCGGGCCGAGGCAAAAAAGAACATGCCTTAAAATGAGAGTATCACTCCACACAACACCACAATTTACATACAATTTCGTCGAGAACACTAAACATGGAAATATTCTGACGGTGTTGCGGGGCAGCCATGCAAATGTATTTTCCAAGAAGAGAAGAAAGAGCAATCTGCTATACGAACGAAAAAGTCTCAATCAGCATCGCATCAGTCGGCAAGGATAAAGACCTGAGCTCCGATATCTAGCAATGAATCGAGTTTTGTAGGAGTAATGCACTAGTACTTATTCGGTTACTTCCGATTGGGCCTGTGTCTTCAT